ATATATATATATTTTTTTTTTTTTTTACGCCACTACAACAGTACGCTACTTAATATAAAAACACTTACAGAACTTAATTACAATGTGCGATACTTGCGCTACTAAACAATACTATGCTCTACTTACAATGCAACACTTACAGTACTTACTTACAATGTGAGATACTTAGGCTACTAACAGTGCAATACTCCACTCTTTACTTATATATATATATAAGAAAAAACAAACAGCTACTTGCGTCACTCACAATACGGATTACATACGTTACAAAATCGAGAAAAAAAATGTATATATATATCCACTATAAATGTTATGACAATAATTGTTACTATAAACCATTATAGACTAATGTTCGAGCTTGTGACATTATTCAAGTTATGTACTTGTTCTGTCATGCAAACAATGGTCACTAACTAGGTACCAAAGCTCGATACTTTCAGTTTGCATCAATTACAGCATATACAATTTAACAATTCCTATATAAAATCTGTTCTAATTTTATGAATAATTTCCTTTTTTTAGTTTATTACAGGGAAGCTGTCTGCTGACTCTTGTAAAGAAAACGAAAACTTTGGTTATAATGTTTGTTCTGACTGCCTTCGATCAAGGTAACTATGACGGGATACCTTTTCAAGTCCTATAGCTACGGTTAAACCTATTTCTGTCTTTTTATAACTGTTTCTTCACTTGCATACATCCCAATGGTATCAGATTTATTACTTACAATATTTCTCACTCCTCTCTCCACAATAAACTGAAGCAGCTTAGTGGAAGGAGACATCAGGGCAGTTTTAATCAGGAAATTTCTTTTTAGTAGTAATATGGACCAAAGTATCAAAAGCACAAAGTTTTGAACATTTTTCTTGTTTTTAAATGTAATTATTGTAATTGAAACATTCCTTTTGGAACTGAGCCCTGAACCTCTTGATTTCATAATTGTTGTTTAATGGAAAATGTAGCGTACTCTTTTTTTAAACCATAGCACTTCAGTAATCAGCAATGAAACCGAGATTAGTCAAACCAAACAGAGAACATAATATCTGGCAGGAGTAAAACATAATTGAAGAAATGTTTTAAGATAATATTATATTCTGATAATTAACATTTAAAAACGTTCTCTGGTTAAAGTAGTTAAAAATTACGATCTTTCGATTGCCAGTCTACAATTTTTGACAAATAGTGAATAAGGAACGCGATCGTTGAAATATATACGGTAAAAAGTGTAAGTAGAAAAAATTACAGTAAGAACAGAAAGATACTTGAGAGGAAATAAAATGCTAAAATGGGGTTCATAAAAGAATAGAATATTGTCTAGGTAATGGTTTTGAGTTATTGTCGGATTCAATTGTCATTGGTGGTTACTCGTCCATTTTTAAAAGTACATTCTGATGTTTTACTGGACTGGAAAGTATCTTAAACCAAGGTTGAAATTTTTGAAAAGTTATTAACCATTGTCGTGTAGTTACTCTAATAATCTTATTCCTCGACGGTAAACAACATTGTGTTGCCCATTTTAGCAATTTTATGAGCTAGTGACACAATTAGAAAAGCTACTTATGAACATTATTAAACCCGGCGATAGCTGATAACACAGACTTGCTTTTGAAACCAAACTGCCTCTAACGCGATCTCTGTGACTCTGTCACACAAAACAGAAGCCATTTATTTTGCTTAAAGCAGAATGGCAAAGGAGATCGCGAATCAGAGTGCACGAAAGGTGCATTTTGCTTTGCTTGTTGTAAGTCATTTTACCTTCCTAAATTTGGTTCCAGTTTTATTTGATTCTTCTTCTTGTTTTAGTTCTACGCCAAGTAGCAGTACAGGCGGCTGTGTGAACACCTTGAGCTGTGATCAGACCAATCTGAATGAGTCAAGCACTTTCTTTTTGGAATATGTGTTGGAAGATAGCAACGATGCTGATTACTTCACCAAACATGTCGTAGGGTTCACTTTTGTTTCAAGTAAAGATGATCCTGATAATGACGGAAATATGAATACTACTTTGTGGTTCAGTAATAGAGTGAGTCTCCTTCCTTGTTCACCCAATTACTATTTTAATTTCTGTTCTCGACTTGGGCTATCATTTGACAGGAGCAGAACATAAGGGGAGCCTTGGCCTAAATTATGACCTGCTGATGGTGAAGGTCTGCAAAACATTCATAAAAAAAACACACACAAATTCCACTTTCATACATCACATCGGTAACCCGTGACTGTAAGCTTGTTTACATCGTGTTTTTCGATTCACACCGTAAAGAGGATTCATCCGCTAACAAACGTAAGCGCAACCTAACCCTTTCGTATTTCAGTTGCAGCAAATAATCGAGTAGTACTTTGACCGTTTTCATCGTTGAACTCCAAAAATTAAGGTACAGTGGAATTGAAATTGTAAAAAATCTCTGTTGTTTTTGTAGGGCCTCCATACGCTGCCAGCCTCTCTGAGTGCTCTGTTGAACTTTATGCTTGCATATGAGATGGGAGATGACTCTTACTACATTGAAACCGTAAATCACCCACTGCCACTCACTCAAGAAGAACGGGTATAGCGTCTTGTTTGACATTTAATTGACGGAGTGAGGTCTTAGGTTTAATTGAAAAAAATTGCTTTCTTTTGCAGAATCGGAGGAATTCAGATGACTTTAGTTCATTCTTCCTGGCCATACTTTTAGCTTTTGCTGTGGCTTTTCTCTGCGCCAGCTTTGTACCATTTTTAGTCAAAGAGAGAAGCTCAAAGGTTTGTAACTGTTTTAGCCTTGTCCTCTTGTAGCTACTTTATTTTTTAAAGCTTCAAAGTTCTCCTTCTCATGTCTTAGAGAAGTTTGTATATTAATGTTTAATAAACTACTCAGGGCCAGTGATAAGAATCCATCACAACTCGTTTGTTCACAGCTGTTAAGGTCAGTTTCATCAGTCGCCGATTAAAAGTGTTTCAAGAAAGAATACTGACAAAAACTGACTTCGCAGCTTACCAGTTTATATACACTCTCTGCCAACCTCCAAACCTGTATCCCTTCCCAAAAAGAACACCACAGAACCCAACATGTACCTTTGAAAGATATTTGTTGTCAAGTCTTTCTGCTCGTTACTTTCGTAATGTGCATGACTTCTAAGCTTGTATTCATACAGCAGGTGTACTTCATTGAAGACATATTAATGCTTCCTGTTATTTCTGCAGGCAAAACATCTTCAGTTTGTGAGTGGAGTGGATGCTGTTAGTTTTTGGCTGGCTACTTATTCATGGGATTTCATCAATTATTTGCTTCCTATGGTTGGGATAATTATAATGTTTGCAGCCTTTCAAGTAGATTCGTTGAAGAATGATTTGGGTGCTATTGTTTTGTTACTGGTAAGTATTATAACTGTTCAATATGCTATTGTAGTGACGCTGTATTTGCTATTGTGGTTTTAAATTATTTTTGACACTTGAAGAGGAAAACCTGTCTTTTTCTTTGCCTATCCTGTGTTGGACGAACTTTTTCAACCTCAGTGTTTGTGTTTGCTTTTGACCCTTTGAATTAAGTTTTCTTTAAATAGTGATAATAACATACAGTCTGTGGCTTCAGTAATGCATTCTTTTGATGTTTTTTGTCTTTTATTTTTAGCTGCTCTTGGGATTGTGTATGCTGCCATTTGTCTACCTGATATCATTTATGTTCAAGAACCCCCTCATAGCCTATGCCATGACAGTTTTTCTTCTGTCCGTTGTGAGCCTGGTAAGATGACATTTATGTTACAAGTTAGTCCAGTTCTAGAACTGGCCCTCTCTCTGTTACACAACGCTAAGCGTAGTGCGTGACAGAGAGGGTTAGAACTGGACTAGTTAGAGTTAAATCATAGCTTGAGTGAACTGTGCGACTGTGTCTGCATGTTCTGGTAGCTAGATCGTATCGAGCCAATTTGAGTCAACCTCATAGAGCTGTTGTTTATATCATATATTTTTCCAATTCATCTTTCAGGCATTTCTCATCGCAGTAACCATACTGAAAGGCAACGAGGATACCAAAGAAAAAGCTGATACAGTTCACTATGTCAGCCTGTTCTTACCGACATATTCGTAAGTTTGCTTACGTTTTCAGGTTTGATAAAGGTAGCGATGTCTACCACAAGCCCCTAGTACCAGTTGTTCTTCTGTTTCAGCTCTTCTCATCCTTCTCCTTTTTCTCGTCGTTATCGTCGTCATCTTCATCAACATCAACAGCTCGGAAAGATATTTCTTTAACCGTAGTTTATTTCTTAAAGATTGATTGTTCCTCAGTTTCACCCACTCCTTGGTTGGATTTGGTGCTCAATCCTCTGTGAGGGATTTGTGGATTTCTGCCAATAGAAATTATTCCAAGTTGTCCAAACTTTAATAAACTTGTATTGTATTGTGTTGCGTTGCGTTGCGTTGCGTTGCGTTGCGTTGCGTTGTGTTGCGTTGTGTTGTGTTGTATTGTATTTCAAAACCTATGAACTCTTATAATGAGGAATGTTGAAAGTAACACAAACAGGCAGTTTATTGTCAAAGTAATGTTTGATAAACTGTCTTGTCTTTTTATCCTTTTATTTCTTTACAGCCTGGCTGCTAGCATCATGGACATCAGCCAAAACAATCTTGTTAAGAAATACTGCTCGCCATCACCGTATGGATCTTTATCTGTTTGATTATCTTGGATTAAGTCGTTATCTTTATATCGCTAAGAAGCTCAGAGATACCTGTACTTCTCAATTCATCAAGTTTAAACAAAGAAAATAATGACCGTGACGGTGTTTGGATTTCTGATCTTAATTAGCATAGTAATTTACAATTTTTATTCTCCATTTTCTCCTTAGTTTTAGTTTCAATTTAGAAGATTTATCAAGCACGAAAGACAGTGTGACTATATTACCAAACACCTCGAAGTTCGTCAGAAATACTCTGGCACGTGTTATATTTTGATCTCTCTTTTAGGTGTTTGGAAATGTGGTCAAACTCGGTCTTTCGTGTTTGATATGTTACTTGTACTGAGCAGAATGAAGCCAGAGTGAACATGGAAGAGTATTCTTGTCTTAATTTCAATTTATCAAACTTTTGTGGAAATATCTTTATTCTTGATCAGATTGTCAGAGCTCATTTACCTGTGACATGTCTACGAGAACTTAAATGAGCAATGGATAACACAGGGGCGTAGCTAGGGGGGTCCTGGGGTGCCCGTGACCCCCCTTTTGTAAGCCTTTTTCAAGCAAACAACCTACAACAGGTTGCAAAAACGACATGACAATCTGCTTAGTACCCTCACTTGGACACAGTGTGATCCCCCCTTTAAAAAATCCTGGCTACGCCCCTGGGATAACATGGTTTTTAATATCCCTAAATTAACTTGGAAGTTTGCAGTGTTGTTATAGTGGAGTTGAAATAGAGGACTGTATGAATTAAACAGAGTTAGTATGGAAGAATATTACCAATGGTTACTTGACGTGACTAACTTATGTTTCTCTCTTGTTAGGTTCTTTCAGTGCCCTCCTACTAGTGCTACTCTAGGCTGGGACCGTCCTGGGGTGGGACAGGCTGCACTCTACATGTTCCTTGAAGCTGTTGTTTTGTTTGTGTTCATCATTCTTGTTGAGGTATGAAGTTCTTTATTGTTAATCAAAGTGGTAACATGAATTCAGGGAAAATATGATGGGTTTAAAAGTGAAGAACTTTGCTTGATGCTGCTTATTTCCTATTTAATTGGTAAAAACCCAAAAACCTGGTGTTTTTTGTTTTTTGTTTTATTCTTGTTAAGAGTTTGATGTTTCTGCTAAGAGTTTATCTTTTCCATTTTAAAGGGGTTTTTTTTTATTTTGTTTTAAAGTGCAAAATATTGTGATACTGGTTTAATTTAATGTTAATCATTTTAAGGTAGATTTTCTAATAAGATATATATCCAATTTATGTTTCTCCTCAACAGATGAATTTTTTTATTCGAGCAAAGATAACGCTGTCTTCTGGAGAATACAGCAATCTCAGAAAACAAACCGAGGTAAATTATGATATTTGAATGAAATAGGTTCTGGCAAACTTGAACAGGCCATTTCCAAGTTGCCTTTTGCCTCTGAGTCAAAAAGAGTCTTCGTGTTAAACCATTCATATGGAAATGTGTTCAGCATATAAGTTCATTTTCATGCAAAGCAAACTCGTTTTCATATGAAAGATTTTGCACGAAGACTCGCTTTCAAACAGAGGCACAAGGTAACTCGGAAATGGTCTATTGGATTATGATGCAGCTGTAAGATACCCTGTCTCATTCATTTTTCTTGAATAGTTGTTGCACAAACGTCCAACAACACAAGGTTTATGTCACATGATCACGTACCATGATTACTGATAAGATCTATTTCCCTCAGGACGAAGATGTGTTTAATGAACGCATGCGCGTTAACAACGAAAGTAGCAGTGAGATTCAATCTGAGGCTGTAGTGTTGAAAGACTTAACAAAGGTTTGTTGTACAGTCAAGTTAAGGCAGAATGTTACATACAAATAGATGTCTGGAAACCTGTTCCCCCGCAAGCCACAGGTTGACTTGTAATGATAGTCACAAGTATCTCTGTCATAATAGTGACATTGTACGTTCTTTTATACCACTTGGCAAAATTCTCTTACTACGTTAGTACATAATTTTGATGGGCAGCCTGCTCCAGGCATTTTACAGTTACAAGTGATCTGCATGTCATTCACAAAAGTAATCATAGTCACTAAAGTTCCAATATAGCTCAAACAAGTTTGTCTTATTCCGCATCAAGGTGTACCGTGGTGCCCACGTCACGGCAGTTGATCACCTTTGTCTTGGAATTCCTCGCGGAGAGTGTTTTGGGCTTCTTGGTATTAATGGTGAGTACATTGACTCTTTCGCCCTATTAGTCCTTGGCTTTTGTTGTTCATGAGCTCGGGGGCTGAGGGGGTGCCCCTGAGGTATCTCAACACGCATTCAAACGATTTCGCATAATAGTGAAACGTACGCTAATGTATGTGATGTGCGAAGCACCCAACTGAAAATAATTTTGTCAGTAACAATCACGTGCCAGTGTTGATATCAGCCCAATGTTTCATCAACCCTTTCAAACGTTTACCATGTACGATTCCATTCATTCATTTCAGGAACTTTCATTTCATTTGTGTTAAATTATGGTTGAATTTGATGAGGATTACGTTTGTGGAAATGGGAATTGAATAGCAGTGGCTTGCTTAAGATTAACGTGTTTCCAGAGGAAATCAAAAGGGATGTTTCTGAAGTCGTTTGTTTCTAGGTGCTGGGAAGACCACAACATTCAGTATGTTGACAGGAGATCTGAGCATCACTGAAGGGACTGCCTTCCTGGATGGATTCAACATTCAGACACATTTAAAGGAGGTACGTCAGTAGTCGTCCAGTGTCAGTATGTTGTAATCAAAAGTAACTGTTGTGTAATCAATAGAATAGTACAGTGTACCGATTTGATGTTAATTTATTTAAATATTGTGAGGAGGTCAACAGTGGAACAGGTGGTGTAATTTGGAATGATAGAGCTGTTTTTCAATTGAATGTCGTTAAACCAAAACCAAGGTTATCACTCTAGCCAATCACAGAGGACACAGATAATCCAATGAACCAATCGAAACTCGAAATAAATACCTGTAGCTGACGCGAAGCGCGGGAAAACGAGTGCAAGTGATTCAGGATTGGTTTTGATGCACCGCTGATTGGATGAAAAAGTGGCGCGAGTTTTAAGCCAATCGTGTAGCGTAGTAAAGAAAACCCAAAGCAAATGCGAATTACTTTCGACACTCAGTTGAAGTTGGGAGAATATTCAGTGTTGGTTTTCATGAGAATTACTTTGTCCTTTCCATTTTACAGGTTCAGCAAAGAATTGGCTATTGCCCTCAGGTAAAGTTTAGTACAAACACTTTTGCCGCTTATCAAAATGTAAACAATGGGAAAGAAGTCGCAATAACGGTGAATTATATCACCCAATGACTCTGGTGAATATCCAGTGAAACCGACCTGTGAATTGTCATTTTACTTTGTTCTTATTAAGTATCGCTATTTATTTGTACAAGTGTTTCTTCTTTACATTAAGGAGGGCAGCTTTATGGGCGAGTTGACATCCCAGAAAGATTGTTACCTCCAACACTGATACTCAGTGTGGGAGAGTTTGCAATCTAATTCTTGAGTTTTATCTATCAATACATAATTCATACATTTATTTATTTATTTATTTATTTATTTATTTATTTATTTATTTATTTATTTATTTATTTATTTATTTATTTACTTTGGCATTTTTCTCAAAAAAAAATGTTTTTGTGAGTCTTTTACTTAGGGCTAACCTCGAGATTTCCTTTCAGTTTAGGCACATTTCGTACATTATTCTTAGGCTTGTTCTTAGGTTTGTATCTTGAATAAAGTTGTACTTTGTCGGTTTAATGTTTATGAAAACAAGGAAACAATTTGCGATTTATCAGTTGAACCTCGTATTTAAGTTAGCCAGCCATATATATAATCATTGAAGAAAATACACATTTCTTTCGTGGAGTAGATTTGATAACTAAGCCCATGACTGCAGTGATAGTGTGAAGGTTCTACTCTTCTTGCTAATGTCCAGTAATTTATCTTTCCTTTGTAGTTTGATGCTCTGCTTGAACGTTTAACCGGCCGTGAAATGCTTACAATGTATGCTCGGCTTCGTGGAGTCCCTGAATACAAAATAAAGGATATAGTAACAGATGCTATTAACCTTCTTAATCTGGCAAAGTGGGCTGATTCCCTGTGTGGAAACTACAGGTACAGTCTTTAGTGGGCTTATTTCTACGATTGCTTTCTATACATTTTTGTTGGCTTTGATTCCTACTTTTAGTTATATTTCTACATTCAGGTGTTCATGTTTATGTAGAACGGTAGTTATTGAACCACTTAAGAAATTATGGAGTTAAAGCAGTGTATTGCAAATCCGGTCGATAGTTGTAAACTTTTTTCATAATTCAGCCAACCAGTGCATACACTCTGCTATGTATCAATTTGAAGTTAATTATAGATTTAAGTACCTCCCTCAGCAAGGTTATGAAGGCCGACGCAGTCTAAGAGTGTCTTTAGAAAGTACAGAAAAACCCTAAACCAGCGCATATGCGTAATGCTTGTGCTAAATATAGTTAAATGAAAATTTAACATAGTTAACGACTAGGAGCTAGTCTGGTCAATAGCGTTTTTGTAGGCGGTTGTTAGTGTCTTGGCCGTCTGTTAGTGTTTGTTTAGCGTTTAGTGCGTTCTGTAGCATTTGATATAGTTCAATGAAATTGTGCATAGTTTATGACCAGGAGCTAGTCTGGTCAGTAGCGTTTTTTGTAGGCGTTTGATAGTGCCTTGGCCATCTGTTAGCTTTTGTTAAGCGTTTGGTGCGTTCTGTAGCGTTTGCAGCAGTCATATGGTCGTGGGAGCCCTGGGGCTGACATTGTCCAGCGGTATTCTTGGTTAGTACGTACGTTGTCGTCCCATGTGCTTGCAGTGTGTTCGCTGCTCTGTTAGCGTGGCATTGTGGATTGAATTATAGTAGTTTAGCAGTTCTTGGCGTTCCCTCCCTATCCCC